TGGCAAACAGTCACAATCTAAGAGATTTGGATCAGGGTTTTGTGGATTAACCCTGCAAGTCAGTGTATGTCTTTGTTGCAATGGGGGCGGCATAGAAATGTTTTAAATAAATATATAAATAAATGTCTGCTTAGAAGTAAGTTGCACAGAAATCACTAGGACTCACTCCCAGGTAAGTAGGTATCACAGTGTAGTTGAACAGAGATACTTTTCTATTGAGCTTAGATTGCAAAGAGGACTTTCTTGGGACATCTTAGGTAAGCCAATGATACTGGAGAAAAACAAAGTACTTGTTTTCTTCAACAGAAATTCATTATACCTATGATGCAGGGAATTGTGGTTATTTGTTTATTTATTGCTTAATTTATTTAGTACATTTATATGCCACCTGGAGCCCTTCAAATTATTTGTATAGGTTGATGAATTTGCTTTTCCTTTCCTGTGTTTGCCACTTTAAATTCTCTATCTCCCTTTCCCTCTCCCCCTCCCCCTCCCTGTATATCTTTACACCTTTGTGCCTTGCTTTTAATCAAACGGTTGGCTGTCTTCTGTATTATTCTCAAGAGTTCACTAAGGCACTTGGCTCTGTAGGGAGGTCGGAAAAATCTACAACTGATTCGAATGCGTTCAGATTTCTATGACTCTGACCTGTGGATTCTGATGCAGACCAGGTTTTTCTGCATACATGGACTTATGGGCTAGTTTTTCCCTGGAGGCGGGTTGCAAATTTGTGCAACTTGAATGACATTTTGAAATAGATATATGATTTTATTAATGAGCTGAAAATGGAACAAAAGATACCCGACAATCTGCAGAGCACAGATAAAACACATTTTTCAAAATCTGTACATTCATACTACCCAGCAAAAACTGATCAGAAAGCAAACCTGGAGTTAAAGATGATAAAGTGGAAAGAGCAACAAGAGCAAAGATGCAAAGTGGAAAGAGTTTTTAAAGAAGGGGTCTCGCAAAATGTTGGTTATGATGCAGTGGTACCACATAACCTTTGCATGTAGGTACTAGTCTCAAGATAATTCCACCGCCTTGCTAGGAATGTTTGAAGAATCTGATGGGAAGCTGAAAATCGGATAGCTTTTCATGATTTGGGTGCCTGGATTTGATATCCCTACATGGGTGTAAACTTGTTAAAGTGTGATTTGTGAATAATAATTTTAAAATGCTAAGTAAATTTGCATATATCAGCCAATTTTCACAAATTGGCACCTGAAAAGTACATGGTCCTTGCCTGATTTGTGCAATTTGCACACTGGCGTTCTTTTTTGGGGTACCAATTAGTGCCAGCTGGCTGATTTTACCTAAATTATACTAGATCCATGTGCTTTTCTGGTGCTGATTTATGCAAAACATGCACAATGCTGAGGTTTGTGCAAAATTCTTTAGCATTTTTTGAAATGCTGGATTAACATGGTCCATCATAGAGACAGAAGTATGCAGAAAATAACCCAGCCTGTTCCCCACAACAAACAGTCAAAAGGAAATAGATTTAATAATTTGGCACAGTGCTAGTTCTAGTGGAAAATGGCATTGTTTATAAGCCCTGCTCACCCCAGTAAAACTCTGAGACAAGCCTATGCCATGAGAAAATCCTTGTCTAAAAGCATTTGATTCAAAGGGATAAATTACACATGCAGATTGTGCAGCAAAGCACTGAAAAGGCTGCAAAAGAAATATAAAGGAGATATTCAAATCTGAACAAATGTAGGGCATATGTGTGCCAAGGGCACACTGATCCTGGAGCATCATTTAGCAGTAGAGTAAAGCAGCAGCACTAGATTTGTCTGTTTGGGTGCACATGTGCTGGCCAGTATTTTGCCCTAAGTTGTAAGATATGGGGCAAGGAATGAACGAATCAGCAAAATACGAGCTGACTGAAGCTCTCCAAACTCCATCTTGAATCTTGTTCCAACTAAAGTCCATATCAGATTGCAAGCTCCCTGCGTCTTTATACATACACATTTGTCTGTATTTTCATGCATATTTGCCAAGTCTATGCCTCAATTATTTATGTCTTTGTAATACAAGCACTCTTCTCCCAATGATTATAACGTATTTGAGCATATTTTTCCAATGCATGCATCTTTTCAAAGGTGTGTATGCTGTCAATCAAACACTTTGCTTTGTTTTGTCCATGAATCCCACTGCAAGCTTGGAAATTCATGGACTTTGACCACAGACTGCACCCAAGTCCATGTTTGATCTAGAAGGAGCTTACACATCTCCACTCATTCATCCACCACATTTTGATGTGTGTGTACCATATCAGAGCCAATTGAAAAGTTTCCATTCTCACTAGAACAGCAAATAAGGGACACTAACAAGGTCAGATATCCACCCTCTTGTTTTGTGGCAACTTGTTCTCGAGTAAAGGAGAGAGTTGCTGGGGTAACACAAGTGAAAGGTGCTTGTGGCCTGCCAGCGGACTTTCTGTAGGCATCTCATTGACCACTGCAGTAATTGCAGTCTGTGCCAGATAGGCCTTCACTCTCTCATTATGCCTTTATGCCATTCTTCTTTTGCTTGGTGCTTATGCTTCCTGCTTTGTTAATTAGTTCACTGGTTTTATGGTTTCACTGTATTTAAGGCTTCCCATGAATTTAATTCAATGTTAGTTTTAAGTCCCTCTGCGTGGAAAATGAGAAACAGCATGGTGGCCTAGTCTAGGGTTGAAGACAGCTGAGCAGCCACAAGTCTCCCTAAGTGATCTTGGACTAGTGACACTTTCTGAAGCTGAACCATCTCAAAGGGTTAGGCTAAGGATCAAAAGGGTTAACCTTCTATGACACTCTGAGATCATTGGAGAATGGGTGTGGTATAAATATAAGAAACCTAACTTACTGTCTCATGAACAGAGTTTCATCTTTAATACAGGTGAATAAGGTGAAGGATCAGCTTATTGAACGTGGCAAATCTGAACATCAAAAGAGTCACTCCATTCTGGCTCCCCCTATCTCCTTTTTTAACCTCACCTAAACCTGTCTCTGTCCAAGTTGCATTAATCGTCTGACTCGGTAGGGTCACCACACAATGAGCTCAGCATATCCATTTTGTATGTTGAATGACATGTTGCTGAATGTACTGAACTGTGGTGAAAACTGGTTTTGAGCATGCCAGCGCAAACAATTGAGCAAATGCATGTCTGCCATGTACACGTTTGCTAAATGTGTCTGAAAAGGTGTGCACTTTTGAAAAATGCACAGAAATAAGTTATAATCAATGGGGGAAATTGTATACATTTTAACAAGGTACACAACTGAGCCACAAATCACACTGCAAGCTTGGCAATGTGCAGACTTCGACTGCAGAGTATGTCTGAGCCCACAATCGGTCTGAGAGGTGTAAATTTTGATCGAAACTGAATTGAATCAAATTTCTTGTTATATCCCTACGCATTTCTGGAGGCTGGGGATGAAACAGGTTTTAAGCGCTTCTTGCTACAACTTGTACTATAATTTACCATTGATTTCTCCATCACTTTTCAAGTTCCACCAAGGCCAATAACTTTGCTTTACATGACAGAAAGGAAAGAAATTACAATGCACATGCCTGCTTATGGAAAGGAACATAGAAGATGCAGAAAACACAAAGCCAGCATTCTTTGGAGAAAAGGCACAAGCAAGCCACTCCTGCAGCTGCTGAGGATCTGACATTTCAGTGTCAATGCTATTTACTTTCAATAGCAGCAGCAGCAGCAGCAACAAACAGCAGCAGCAGCAGCACAAGGCGTTCTTGGAACTCTGAAGCACGTGCTGCCCCGTTGCATTTCCCATGGGCTGCTCTCTTCCCTAAATGAACCCACCACCTGCCAAGGTCTTTGGGTAGTCACTAAATCAGTGTAATGGCTACTTCTGCATCACACACAACTGAATTAGAACAGAGATTTCCTAGTGCCTCCCTTGGGAATTCCTTTATTTTGTAATGTTCAGCAGCCACTCTGTTCACTTAATCACTCATCCAAGGAAGTGCTGCCACACATGACTGCTGAGCAGCAGGCTGCAGGTAGGGACTCTTCCCGCCAAAGCCCTCCTGAGCCAGCAGTGATGCGGGTGACTGGGAAGCTTCAGAGCAACTTGCTACCTGCCCAGTGGCACAGGTTGCTTGGGAAATGCCAGGCAGTTTCCAACCACAGCTTAAGGTGCTGGGTCTGACCTGAATATTTGGGCCAGGATATCTGAAGAACCTCCTTCAGGGTCATATCAGAACGTCCTTCCATCAGATGAGGTGAGGAGCCTGGCCACTGAGGAGAGGACCTTTCCAGAGATGGCTGTCTGGCTGTGGAATACCCATCTCAGAGAAGATGCTCTGGTGCCGAAATGGTGCAGGATGAAGGCCTTTAACCCTAGACATTTTACTCCTTTACTTTAAAAAATGTGCCAGTGCCTGCTTTTCTGCACTGCTTTTACTAATTTCATTTAGTTTTACTGTGTTTTATGTATTTTAGACTATGTTAATGTATTTTATGGTTCTAATTGTATCTTGTGAAATGGCCAGAGAGTTTTGGCAATTGGGTGGGATATACTTGCAATCAATCCACCAATGAATATTGTGATGATAATTGGAGGCCCTCTATGATCTATGACCTAGAGGGGCTTGTTTGGTGGCTACTCAGGGCTTTTTCAGTAATGGCACCTCAGAAGTGGAACTGTTCCATCAGGTTTTTAATGTTCTGCAATTTTGTTTGTTTTAAAACCTGCTACTGTTGCATGTTCCTTGACCCAGCAATCCTTGCATTTTCCTTGTTTTCTGAAAGGTTTTCGGATATGCTCAGCAGAGGGCTTGATTTATGCATTAAACAAACAAGCAAACAAACAGCCTCCAGACAGAAGGGCAGTGGAAGCTAATAAAGCAATCGTAGCAACTTCAGTAACAGACACATACTTCAGATGCTTTCCACAAAGCCCCTGAGCCACTCTGTGGTAAGATGATCATCAGCATCCAAGCAAATGCCGTTAAGCAGAAAAACTAAGGGAGGCTGGGTGTGTGTGGCCTTTTTCTTTAGTCATTTCAGCAAAGCTGATCGATTCCAAACTAGAGCTAATTTTGCAAGGGAGGTGGAGTCTGCTCTGTGGATAAAAAACAGTGCTGCAAAATGGGAATGACAGGCTATCAACAGGCTCACAGGAATACTGACACAAAATAATCAAAGCGTCGAGTGCAATTTTCTTGGAGAAATGGTGGTGTGGGGAGGAATGGGAGAGATCTTGATTGCCATGGCTCAGAATCAATATATTGAATTCAGGCTTCATGTTGGAGTAGTTTAAGTGTCCCCCAATATTGTAGGAATTATACTTAAGTTCAGATTATCTTAACACCATGTTACTTAACAGGAGCTTTTTACTCTGAGAGAACAATGCGCCTTACTGTATCACTTTATAATGTCAGGTTATCACTCCACACAAAGCCACCTTTGACAAGAACAACAGGAAAAATATTTTTGTCCATTGACTCTTCCCCCTCGGATGTTCTCCCCGAAGGCCTAAAGCAGCTTTACCCAACCTGGTGCTGGCATGGTGCAATTGCAGACCGGGTTGGGGAAAGTACCTAAGAGGTGAGTAAACTTTAGGAGAGGGATTTCAACCTTTTAGGAAGTATGTGTGGGAGGATTGACAGAAAAAACAGGAAACCATCAAATAGAAACATAGAAACAGAGTAAGTCAGAAGGGGCCATCCTGGGCCATCTAGTCTGATCCATGGCTTCAGCTGGCTCTACTCATGACATGCCTATCATGTGCATGTCCAGCCTTTAAAAATATAGGACATTACTATAACTGCTACAGAGACCGTAAATTCCTGAGCCACTCTCAACAGGGTAACATCTACATGAATGTTGAAGTTTCCCAGTACCACTATGCTTGGATACTCCAGTGCAATGCCCGAGACAAGTTTGTCTAGGCAAGGAAGGACTCTGCCCCAGTCATTGGGATATTGTGAAATGGTGAGAAAGATGGAACCATGATAGGCAACAACCATTTTCTTCAACCTGGTGTATTTCAAATGTTGCTGGGCTGGAATTCTAAACATCAATGATGATTGGACATGCTGGGTGGGATTACTAAATATTGGAGTCTAGCAGCATCCGGAGAGGGCACTGCTAGGGAAGCCTCGATTGCAGAAACTCCTTCTCCTCAAGTCCTGGTTGATGGCGTATGGAAAATCATAGTAGACAATGATGAGTTAGGTTCTTACCATCCACTTTCTCAACCAAGGGGGAAATCTCTTCTAGATATGTTGACTAGGATTGTGATGACTGCCTACTGGCAGTTCATGCGCCCTAAACTATCCATCTTGTGCTGTTCTGTCATCAAACGTCTGATCTAGTCAGGCTTTACACCATGGGAGATGGGAGAATGGCAGAAAGCAGCATAGCCTCCCCTTCCTCCCCATTGCATTCAGCACATAATTTTTTGGTTAGGTGAAGGAGCATCTGCCATTTATTTTTTAAATGGATGGATACCCTTCCCTGCATTAAAGGGCCATTTTGCTGTCCACATCCGCTTTCTAACCCCCCCCCCCATTTCTTCTGCAATTGCATTTGTGTGTGACACAAGATCATACTTTCAACACAGTGGAAACTGTCTTGCATTCTTAGCAGTTGCCCCAACAGTGGGGAATGTGTTTGGCATAAATGCTGGCACAAAACTCCCTGTTCAGCAGAAGTGGCTCTAGTGTAGACCCACTCCTGGTCTCGACATTACATCCAGATGAAATCATGGATGGACTTTTCTCTTCTCTTGTAAAGAGATAGATTTCAAAAATTGGAAAGAGTCTTTCTTTCAGACTGGAAAGTGGGCAGCCACCAGAACCTGCAGAACCTTGGCAGAGAACTCCAGATGAACAGGAGTAAAGGGGAGTGAAAGCTGGTCATCCCTTCTCTTGTGATGGTTCCTTCACCAGCCTCCTCCATTCCTCCTTTTTGTCCACTACCCTTATCAAGGCCGCATCCTGCTCCTCCCGCAAGACCACAACAAGTGAATTCCCAAAAGATCCAAAGACGGAACCAATCGCAACATAAAATGTCGTTATCGCCCACCAACACTTCCTGGGCTTCCCTTTCTGTGTTTCGTAAGGTTTGGGAACTGCATATTTTTGACAAAATAATATGTTTACAATGCCAAAAGTATGTGGGAGTTTTCTATCAAAAACAATTGCAATGAACATGATCTTACCTACACTATTGCAGAGCTCTCTGCTCCTGACCCACTTCCTCTGAAAAGTGCTGAACATCATCCAACTGTAGCTCATTAGACAGAGTTCTATGCTACTTTTTCATTGTCCATATTTTCCTCCGTCTCACATGGTTCTTCATATCCACCACAGCTAACTGAAATAGAGAAAACGCATTCAGAGGCATGTGCTTGGTTTGGAATGGTCTTAGGTTAATTCTGAGGCATCATTTCCCTCCCTTTCCTTTGCACAGGTACATACATAGAGAAGTGCACTCAAAGAGTATCATCCTGGAAGAAAGAGAATCACACAGATTTGCACGAGAAGTTCTGTGAGCAGATTCCTGCCACAATGACACATACGTGCAGATCTGCCCAACTTTCTCTTTTTACATTCTGATCACGCCTCATCTTGGAAGCTAAGCAGGGTCAGGCCTGGTTGGAATCTGGATGGGGGGCTTCAATGTTGTGAACCACCCAGAGAGCTTCAGCTATGGGTGGTATAGAAATATAATTAATAACAATAACAATAACAATAATAATAATAATAATAATAATATGTGTTTCTCATGGAAAAAGACACACACATTAATGTCAGCATTAGGTGTTTCTAAATAATAATAAGGTGATCCCGATTTTTTTTTCAAAGAGTAAGCTTCATTGCACTGCGTTCTAGTCAGGAGCAAATGACCACAATTTAACACAAAGTGACATGTGCCAAAAACCATTGTTTATGGGGGCTAAGCATACACCACTCTGTGTTGAATTTTGCCCAATATGCTTAGAACTGTGGCTTCTCCCATTTCAAATTAACAGTCAGAGCAGCATGTAATTGGAATGCAGTTTCTCTCCAGGCTCATAAGAACAATCAATTTCAAGTCTGCACAACTTGTTGCCCATAAACCAGAGTGCAGTCCACCAGCCATTTATTGACAGACCTACCCTGTGCTGAATTCTCACATAGAATGCAGAACCAGAAAAGTTATCAAGTCCCTGTGAAGTCCGGGGAGGCTGATCTGACCCTGAGCCAGCCCAACTTAAGATGCTAAGATCTCATGAGAGGGATTTAAGCATATTTTTGACTCCTGCACAAGAGACTTTGGATGTAAAATTGAGTGGAACATTCTTGGAAGTGCATTCATTGAATGCATCTAATCTTAGAGACAACTGATTCTGAAACATTAACTGGCAATGCATGGCACTGATTGACTGGAAGCTCTTATTTGCCAACTCATCTACCCAACCGGAGTTTTTCAACATTTTGCTACTGATTTTCCTTTTAAAAATGAGATAAAAACATTTTCAGAGTAAGCTTATGCAGGTTGCAAAGTAGTTAATTTGCACCATATTCAGTGTAGGTTGCATCCATTTATGTGCATAAGACTGACGTTTAATTGATTAAACAGACATATGGTATTTAAATAAAATTGAAAGGCAGACTGCCCACAACTTTCGTGAGAGCAGAGTAAGATCAATACTTCTATTGGCATTAGAATCACTAGACAATCAGACTGCAAAAAGGGAGACATGTTGCAGTCTCCCTGTGGTGATGGCTGTTTCAGTGTTTATGCATATGCAGCATAAAAGCAACTTTGGACTGTGTCTCATCTGAGGCATTATCACCCATGGGGTATTTCAGAGTAGGTAATGAATCGATCATATTTATTTAAAAGATGTATAAGCTGTCTTTTAGAGTAGGGCTTCCCAAGATGGCATACCACAAAATAATAACCACAAATCATAATCAAAACATTGAATTAAAATGATAAAATTGAAAAAATGATAAAATTTAACAGTTTGATATGCAGAATGGTCCCAGAAGGATCATAACCCTATTAAAGGCCAAATAGGTAAATAGTGTAGTTCTACTTGAAAGTCTGAAACAATGGGGTCTCCAGGGCATTAGGTAGGAAAGAGGGGAGATTATCAATATTGCCTCATCCATTGTGTCCACCAGACTGTACCAGTATGATGGATCTTAGCCTGATCCTGTAAAACAGTTCTCAGTTAATTAATTGCATTTTTATACTGCCCATAGCCTGCAGGGTTCTCTAGGCAGTGAACAAGTAGAGAACAAGTTTAAAACACAAAATGGTAAAAGGGATGATCACAGAACAATAAAAGCTACTACAACAGAAATTAGTAGAACTCGAATATCTTTGCTCCCCTTCCCATAAAAGACCTGAAGGAGAACTGGATGGGCAGCCAATGGGCCATGCCGTTTGGTACTGCTGTTTGGCAGCTGCCCAAAGTTGCTACTCTAGGTGCTGGGACCTTAAGTAGGCCAAGAAGTCAAGCAAGGGCTGCCTCCTCTGGGTCGCAGGTATCTGTGTGGTGCACCCTCTCTTTCCCCAGTGGCCTGGGGGTGCTCTGTGATGGCTTTGTTTCATCTCCAAGGACCTATAGGGACATGTTTTAGCTGAAATCCCTTTCATATCTAGGTTGTGTAAATTGGAGTAGAGCTATAAGACAAATTCAAATTTAAGAATTTTTCCAGTTTGCATCTATCACCTCTAAACATAGACCCAGATGCAATTTGTAGTTGGTCTGTACATTTCTGAGCCTGTGACAGTAGAACTTAAAAACAAACAAAAAAGGAAAGAAAGAAAAGAAAGAAAAGAAAGGGGGCACATTAGAAAAATGTGCATAGGCGAATAAGTACTTTTGAAAAATGTGCATGCAAAAATGCATGGATTTTTGTGCGTAATGGAAATGAACAAAGTTCATGATTTTTCATGAATATGGGTTGAAATGAGCTTTGAGATGCAATAAATAAATTTGGAGGAACTTGATGAGATCAAGGTTTGCTGCTTTGAATGTCCTAAATTATAGGAAGTGAAATAGCGCAACTTTCCCCTCAAATCAGAATGGCCTGGAAGAGAATTGAAAAATGAGGTTACAAAGGCTGATCTAGTCATAGATCACAGGAGATTTTCACTGAGTTCTTCTTTCCCCTCCTTGTCCTCTTTTTCCCTTTCCTGATTAGTCTCTGCTGTCCAAGCTGCATGTATTTCCAGCGTGTTCAATGCTGGCACAGCCAAGAGAAGGGAATAAAGAATTGTCCTGACAGGCCCATCCCACTATTTCGAAAGGTTTTATTTCCATTGTGCTACATCAGCTTTCTTTTTATTAAGGGTGAACTTCAAGCATTTAAATACCAAGCCAAAGGAAAGGCAAATGCTTTTAGATCCCAGTCAGGATGGAAAGGTAGTAATGACTAACTGCTTTAAACATAGGCCTTAGTATAGCCAGACTTCCTAAAAGCTCAGGTTTGATTCACAGCTGTATCAAAGGAGTCAGAGCTGCTTTTGAGGTTTATAAACTGAAGAACACCTATTTGCATTAACACAAGAGTTTTAAGATGCATGCAGTGCAAGATTTAAATGGATGAAGAGATAGTGGCTGTATGAACAGAACACAGTAAGTAGCCCGGTGTGGTTACCGTGGTTCATGGCTTTTTGCTATCCTCTGCTTGACAGACGATCTAGTGGTTTTTACTTTACTGTGGTTTCTGTGCTGTCAAGAGCTGGTTTCCTCCCTTGGCACATTCAAGTCACAGACCTTTCTTGCAAAAAGTTCTTTATCAACAAAAGCGTTTTTCAGAAGCACAATGACCCAGAAGAAATCTCTGAGTGTACGCAGAGCAGTTTGTTGAACCCAGTCTGGTACCTACTTCTAGGAACTCTCCTTATGAGTATGTTTGGGCCCCATTCTTTCAGGAGGGGCCTTGTGGAAATGAGCACGCCTCCCACCTGCATGCTGACCCTCTAATTGGGTCTCCCTCCTCTGCTGACATTGTGTCATGGGGTTGAGAACTGTAGCCATATCTCTGTCTCTGAGAAACTCCCCTGTTCCAAGCCCCCTTTGGATAACTGTATATCTGGGTTGTTCTGAAAAGCACCTCCACATCTCTCTTCTCAGTGTCTGGAATTGGCCCAAATTTCAAGACCTTCCCTTTCTCCTCCTCCTACTCCAAGTTCCAATCAGGACGCCTTGGGAATGCATGCCAAGAGCAACTGTCCTTCTCACTCCCAACATCTGCTCCCTGCTGTCCTTCTGCTCCCAACATCTGCTCCCCACCAGCCACTGTGCCTGAAATTCAATCCCTGTATGAAAGCCATATGTTCTACCATTTAGCTATATCCCTAGTTAGTTTAGGGCGAACAAATTCTGAAACAATTTCCCCTAACCTAATATTATCCAAATAACTCTGCAGATGAGCTGGCTCCGTGAAAGAAAGAATAGCATTGGCTTGCATTTTATTATCATGCAGCAAAAAGGAGGGTCAGTGGATGAGTTCACTAACAGCCTACGAGCCAGATGTGATCTGACAATCTCTCTCCTCTTTTGTCTCAGGTTTCACTTATATTCAAATCCTCTCCATAGTTTCCCTTGGTTGCTTTATTCCATATTTTCAGTTATTTTCCCTAATGAAACTATCTAGCAGAACTAATCCAAACATGGGCTTAATTAATCAACATTTGGCAGTCTACAGCTCCACACTCTTGCCCAAATTACTTGTGACAACTTTCTTAATGCAAAACCAAAATATCTACAGGGAGCCTGTTCTTCAATCAGCTGGCTGGATAGAATGTTTTCAATTGATTTTAATATATGTTAATAAAGCAGCAATAAACCTT